CGAAATAAATAATTCTGTATTCCTACGATTAATAACAAGTTTTTGAAACCAACTGACAAGAGACTATGTGCTTACTAATTAACCAAAAATTGACTGACTGATTGAGTGGCATTTTTTTATGCTCTGGATTTGAAACACATACTGTGCATTATCAGATAGACATTTAAATTCCTACTAGACCACGCTATTAATAAACATATATATATATATATATATATATATATATATATATAATATTAACCACTACAGAACTATTCATTGATAATCGAACGCTACTCATCATTCATTAGAACAAAAGGAAATAATCTATAACCTTGAAGAAGACATTCAAAAGAAAGGATAGAAAGATAACTTGAAAAAAAGTCAAATCTGACTTTTATTATTTTGTTCATAGGTAAATTTTGTCTGTCATCACTTAAAATCAAAAATGAAGTAGCAAAGTTCAACATTGATGGAGTTAGAGCTATGAAAAATCATATTCAAATCTCTTCGACAGTTTGCATGCAACTACTCATATAAATATCGTAAAAATATTTTTTATTTTCTCGATAAACTAGGTCATAACAGTTTCTAAACATAAATTATGATGAGATTTTAATAATTCAGTGACTAATATGGATAGGGAATCCTCAAGGCCAACGGAAAAGAGGAAGGCCAAGGAAAAAATTACTCCGGGTAATGGTGACCAACAGTTAGAGAGAACTACGAAAGAAGGCCCAAGACAGAGAAGGATGGACAATCCTGGTCAACGGACTATGCTTCATTAGGGGCAATAGGCGTAATGGCTAGGGAATATATTTAACATTCCTAACCATAACCTAGAATTCGACCAAACGAAAATATAGAAGAGTTCCATGAAGTCACTGATTTCAGACAAATAAAAAGCATGTATCTTTCGTTTCTGACTTGCATTTCTACCGTCATTACATAAGTTGTCCCTAAATTGTTATATCTAACCAACCTACAAACAAACTGCTTTTCTTAGAAGCATATGCTACTTAATATAAAGCAACAAGTTGGAAATACATGCAGATTGGTCATTAAATTTACCTCATAACCTAAAACGATCAGTGATGTTCTACCATCATAAACGTTTGTTTAATACAATCTATTAAACATAAGGGATTTTTCTTTCAAATTGTAATCTGTTGAAAACAATATTTCAATACAAAAATACAAACATTATATACTACTTAAATGCAACGAATCCTTTTTTACCAATTAATCAGATATTTATATTTATGTTTACTTATACTAACATATGGTCAAATTGTACCACTGAAAACAGAATTATCATTCAAAGGAAGACCATGTACAAACAGTGTACACATTGAATGTAAAACGAGAAACAGAAAATAGAACCAGTTTGTGAAACACCACATGTACATCTGTTTTAAATGAACAAATTAAATAATTATAACGTGATTATCATTATCGTTATTATTATTATTATTAATAGTAGTAGTAGTAGTAGTAGTAGTAGTAGTAGTAGTAGTAGTAGTAGTAGTAATAGTAGTAGTAGTAGTATTAGTAACAGTAGTAGTTGTATTATTATCTTTCTACTGAAATCATTCTTGATTTTTACTGAGATTTTTTAAAATAAAAAGCAAGCTACCTAATTCTCTTCTCTTCAATAATTTCTTCCAACATTTTAACAATTGTCTTTTTCTATTCCATAGAAATATTTTAATGAGTTGTTTGAAGCTTTAAAATCCAATAATATGAAATAGGTTTGTCAGAAAATCAATGATTCATTTCATTGAACAATCGAAAAATGGAGGAAGAATGTAGAGTAAGTAGGCAAAAAACAGAGGGGAAAAAAACTATTTACAATTCAAGCGAAAGTTGTGATTCAATAATTTTTTTTCTAACTGTTCAAGTTTCATTGTCAGATAATAAAATAACTCTTGCAAGCTTTTTAATCCATCTCTTTCAGAATGTCATCTTTGTTCAACTTAAAATGTGAACAAAAAACAAGCTTTTCATTGGATGTTAACTTGTTTGATTTTAAATTTCATACAGTTACCTAGAAAGTGATGAACCTTCTGGGATAAAAGAAACGATGTCTGTTACCCCCAATGGAGCATAGGCCGCTGACCAGAATTCTCCAATTTACTCTTTCCCGGGCCTTTCTTTCTAGTTCTGTCCAATTTTTGTTCATTCTTCTTATGTCTGTCTCCATTTATCGGCGTTATGTGTTCCTTGGCCTTCTTCTTTTCCTTCGACCTTGAGGGTTTCAAGTGAGACCTTATCTTGTGACGCAGTTGGGTGCTTTTCGTAGTGTATGTCCTATCCACTTCCAGCATATCTTCCTGATTTCTTCCTCCACTGTTTTCTCCAATAATAGTCTGTTTCTGATGGTGTCGGGCCAATGGATTTGAAGTATTTTGCGTATACAGCTGTCAGTGAGTACTTGTATCCTCTGGATGATGGCCTTTATAATTCTTTACGTTTCCGCCCCATACAGGATGGGTGTCTTGACATTTGTATTGAAATTCCTGATTTTGATGTTTGTTGACAGTTGTTTTGAGTTCCAGATGTTGTTCAGTTGTAGAAGTGCAGCTCTTGATTTCCAGATCCGCTTAACCTCTAGATTAATGAGTCGGCATCTGATGGTGCTACTTTCTAACTACAATCAATCCAAGACACTGCTCAACAATCATGTAACTCAATGATATCATCCACATCACAATAATTCAAGGTCTTAAGTTCATTCTTGCATGAAATTGTTGCGATGAACTACTGTATTATTGTAAATAACTATTCAATCTCTTCTAGTTTTCAAAAGTTTTGAAGATGACCTAGATTATTTCATTGGGAAAAGCCGACTGGAATCACTACTTATAAGTAAACAAATCAAGTTTATTTTCTTATCGATCTCTTAACTTTGAATTTCTTCATTCACATTACAATTGAGACTTGTATACAATGACAGAAGTAAACAAACATTCTATTTAAATAATTTAATGCTTCCAATGAAATTTTGTTTACTTTTTCTAAAAAAAAAACACGTAGAATATACAACTTATAATTATTCGGAACTTTTGAAGTATACTATCAGAAAGATCAATAGCTTGTAGTGATTAATATCAAATTCAATTGTTATAACAATAATCACCTTTTATTAATAACATGAAAATATCAGATCAGATATAAAGTAGATTAGTGATTTTTTTCATCAAGGCAGATTAAAATCAACATAGTAAGAGAAGTTTATTTTTAAACGCTCTGGATTCTATACACCAAAAAAATACATCAATAAATTCCTATCAAACTCATCATCAAATAACAGGATTAAAACAGAAATTAGCAAACAGATGATCACAACTCAGTAATTACAAACCAATTGTCAAGATCATTATGAGTAGTTAGTACTACTACTACCACACAAAAAATGTGTAACTTAACAATCTTCACAACCCCGTAATGCAAATTACCTGTGTTCACCAGTGACTAGCTTCGTGAGGAATCTTCTCCGTGTTCTAGTGGGAAGACGTGACCAGTGAAGTTCAACTTGTTCGGGTGTAGACAGTAACTACCGAAGACTGTGTATGAGGTTGCGCAACTCCATGAATCGATCAAGTTAGACATTAACACCGTTAGATATCGGCTCAGTGGTCCGATGGTTAGGCGTTCGCCTACAATACCGAAGGTCCTGGGTTCGAATCCTGCGGGGTGCAGGCATCGTGGATGCGCACTGCTGAGGAGTCCCGTACCAGGACGAAACGGCCGTCTTTCAGTGCTTCCAGGTTTCTAATGGTGGTCTAACATTGATCGATTCATGGTTTCAAAAAATGTGTAACTTCACAACCCCGTAATGCATACTACACAACCTCACAAATTAGTTAAAGTCAATATTACTCAAACCAAAGAACATAACAACAAAACAGAACAAATTGAATAAAAACCTTCAAGATGAACTGTAACAGTAATAAATACTGCTTTGGATAAGGTAGCCACCCTTTAAGTTTACTTGAACACCAGTTAGCTGTTAAATGCCATTAAATATCAACCAAAATAAGTGAATACAAAAAAATTACGAAAGTGAATTCAACTATGAAAATATTAAAATTTTGAACAGAGAAAACTAATGAATTCTTATGAGTATAGCATTCAGGTAGTTCACAAATCCACAGAAATATCGAAATCGGGCCAATTTTTAAGCCAAAAAGAAAAATTGTGGAAAACTACGAGGTCAGAGATCAAGTCAAGGTAAAACAATCAAAATAAATCTTCAGAAACGCTAACATGACCATGAACCACAATTAGCCAACCTTTATGTCAACAACAAAAAACTATTATTATTCAATTGTGGAGAAATAGTAATTGATTACTTCTATCTGAAGTAAGTGCCAATGGTAATTTCTAAAAATATAATAAGGGCTTTATGATTAAACTATCCAGCTTGGAGAATGAAATACTTTCAAAAAGAATTTTAATTACTAAATCAATAGAATCATCACGAACCTCTATCTAAAGCAGTATCTTTTAACCGAATATGATTATTTTTTTATAATATCAGGACACCTTCAGGTGAATTATCACTGTTGTCACTTCTATTCTTATAGCTATTTTTCTAGCATAAAGTCAACTGTACAGATAGCAGAATGGTATTTTCATATAATTAACCGTCTGAAGACTAATGGAATGCCCTATGAGAGCTCATTCAGTTTTTTTGGGGTTGTGAAATATCAAAAGTATTTTGTAAAGTATACCAATAACTGGAAGTTGATGCATTGTGTGACACGTTTGGAAAGTGTATTCTAATGCCACAATCGCCACTAACTTAATCAACTTTATCTTAGAGAGAGATAATTATTTATATCTGATTATCAGAAGAGTTTTCTTAACATAACTTAACATTTGATGCTTTTCATTCTAATGTTTACTTAAAATTCATTATTTCCACTATTTATGTATGAATCAAAAATACATAAAACAATAAAAATCAAGAATATGAATCAAAAGAGCAAAACTTTAACTGTAAAATATAAACTTACCAATAGTAGTTATCACTGTTGTAGAGAAATAAAATGCTCCAGCAAATTTCCATTGTGTACCTGCTTTATATGGTTTCATTTGTATTCCTAATTGTGTAATCCTTTCGAAATCATCAATTGTTATATTATATTTAGTTCGTAAACTTTCAGCACTCTCTCTTAAACGCATATCTTCACTTACTTCAAATTCAGATTCTAAAGCATCAAAAATAGCAGCTCCAAGTAACAAATAAGTGAATGTTACTACAATCAATGAAAGAGTTCGAACATTTTGTCTTTTCATATTTATTCATGTCCGCTTTCCGAACATTTTACAGGCTGGTATGCACATATTTAATATAAAACAAATCCAATAATTTCTAATTCCTTAAAATTTCACTACAGGCTTGACAGCCTTTTTATGTAAAACAGATTTGTTTATGCGCTTTTATCTATTTGGATAACATGATTTGTGAAAATAATCGATTGGTCCAGCTTTCTTCATCTAGGAAAATAAAATTCAAGTAACGACCTTGGGTTGCTGAATTATGATTGGTTCATAGACATTATTTTAAACTGACAGGTAATGTAACGACAGGAAGATTAATCATGAAATAACTTGTCTCATTTATCGTCTAAACTAAATCCCAGTGTTACTATTAATAATTACCAAGTGAATTAGCACAGATGAAGAAAGTTTGGTGTTTCAGTTACACCTAGAAGATCCTCCACGTAATTAACATAACAGTCGTACAAAAATTATCCAATTGAAGTTCGATAGGAAATATAATTGATCATTGGCTACTTTTTAAACTAAAAGCACTTTGTGCAAAATGCAAATTGTTTAGCTTTTTACTGAACATCTAATTAGTAATCACATTTTATTGTTTTTCAAACCTGGACATTACGAATTTGTTCCTGTTGAATGATCTTAAAAATATTTTAACGTTGGCATGGTCATTACTTATGGAACTATATAAATTGCTAACAATAAACAAGGTTTTATTAAGTTATCGTTTAGCCAAGTTACAATTTACATTATTCCTTTTTAAAAAACCAACATAATAGAAAAATTATTGATAGATATGTAGAAAATCCCAGTTATACGAAGAGTTGTTTGGAGGTTGGCTTAATCTGTAGACAGTATTTACCACAGAATTGACCTATAACTGGTAAACCATTGAAAACTAGGATGCATTAGATAGCTAGTTCGTTTATGTATAGAACCTCTCAGTAGTACATGCAGTGACTTACTTCAAGGTGTCCTCGAAGTCCTGGTGAGAAGTCATGGCCAGTGGAGTTCAGACGTGTTGGGAATGAGACATATATGAGTAGTGGAATGGGATAATCGTTGTGCTTTATCGTAAACTAATTGCAGTTGGAATTGTACTCTTGGACGTCAACTTAATGATTTTAATAATAAAGCATTCATCATATAGTTCAAAGATTCAAGTACTCGAATTCCATGTGTGGTTATTAATGCCCCTTGTCCAGAAGTTGCATACAGAGAAAAAACAGTTCTCCAATGCTCTCTGGTTTCCAATAGTACCTCGAACAAATCCAATGTTTAATGAATATTATTTACAAATCAGTGATATATATGTATAACGAAAACACCAATTTCTAGTTTTGCACAATATTAGAGAATATCACCTCTTCTGAGGGTTGATTCATTTATCAATCGTAAAAAGAACTACCCTAATCATTATACAATCATATTTGTTAAAGATGGTCATTTGTATAGTGAGTTTTTTGCACACAGTGATTTATACATGAGAATGCTCATCTTATAATTTGAGAATTAATGACTTGATTTTTAATTTCATTTCGAATATAGTCTATACCGGATTTTCTGGATATATAGTCTAATACCATTGGATAGCGGAACTCTCATGGTTCATTAATTTCCCTATTATATTATATAAATGTTTAAAGTTTATCTTTCTATCTTTTATAGTCGAAACAACTTTTATTCGAATATTTTCAATGTTAATGTAGTGTTTATTAAGTATATCATGTTTAAGATTTGTAATTTTCGCACAGCTACAAGAAGATGTTCATCATGTACAAGTCGAGATTTCATGAAAGTATCTTTAACATTAATATTAAATGTATCATAACTAATTTTTTTAAAAAACAACTTATAAAATACAGTTTTATCATGGGGTGAACGTCATTATTTGTTAGACAACTATTCACTACTCAATATTATCTGAGGATATTTGATTTTCCCAATCAGTCATACATCTTTTGTCAGGTAAAATCTTATAGTCTAAAGTTAACTACCTAGGACAGAGTACGTTGGAGAACACTGGTCGATGGCCTATGCTCGATTGGGGTGACAGTCTTAAGTAAGTAAGTTAAGGGGTTAGCTTGTATTAATGTACATGTTGTTGATGCATTACTAACCGGTTATGTGGAAGAAGAAGAAGAATGTGTAAAACACTATAATGTTAAAAACCAAACACATATGTTAACAATTAGATTATCTATATGTAGTCAGAGTGTGACTCATGCAAAATCACATGAAAGATAATCTTAATTGGATGAATAATTTAATTACCTAAAATATGGTAGTTAAACATAATTCTTACCATCTTCCCTAGAAGTGCTGTTATTTTATTCTATCTACGTTAGTTTAAATACCATGAAGCTACCCTCCTCTAATCCTCGAATCCATAGCATTAGATTTACTTTACTTTTTTTACTTACGCCTGTTACCTCCAATGGAGCATAGGCCGCCCACCAGTTTTCTCCAACCAACTCTATCCTGGGCTTCCCTTTCTAGTTCTTTCCAGTTTTTGTTCATTCTTCTCATATCTTTCTCTATTTCTCAGCGTAGTGTGTTCCTTGGCCTTCCTCTTATCCTTTTGCCTTGAGGGTTCCATGTAAGGGCTTGTCTCGTGACGCAGTGAGGTGCTTTTCGTAGTGTGTGTCCTATCCACTTCCACCGCTTCTTCCTGATTTCCTCCTCCACTGGAATCTGGTTTGTTCTCTCCAAAAGTACGTCGTTACTGATGGTGTCTAGCCAACGAATCCGAAGTATTTTGCGTAGACAACTGTTAATAAACACTTGTATCTTCTGGATGATGGCTGTTGTAGTTCTCCAAGTTTCCGCTCCATACAGTAGAACTGTGTTGACATTTGTATTGAAAATCCTGATTTTGATTTTGGTTGAAAGTTGTTTGGATTTCCAGATATTTTTCAACTGTAGAATTAGAACGTATATAATTTGACACGACTATTACAAAACATGCAAACATTAATTGATACTTAACAATTGTAAGTGTGAATTATACTAAACGAGTCTTAGTTTAAGTAATTTACCACTGTTGCATTGAGCTATAACATTTAAATCCTGACTCTTAAACCTAATTCAAAATAAGTAGAGAAATATTCAATTGACATTGTTTATTGCTGACTGATAAATACCATTCATCTTATGGATATAAACTTTTTCCATTGGAATTCGAAGTGAATTGAAAAGGAAATTTGTTTCATTCTCCATTAAGCTTAACAGTAATTTACATTTTCATGTAATTTCTCTTATGTTGTACCGAATAGCAAATAGCAAGAAAATCACGTCCTAGATTCTTTTGCTAGCCAAATCCCATCGCTAATACATAAACTTGTCATATTATTTGGTGAGTCGACCTCACGGTTACTCTGAAAATTACGCAACGACACCAGAATAAGTCGGTCCCACAGACAACAGCTAAAATGCAAAAGTTTCACGTACATATGTGGATGGATAGGTTTTGCATACTAATTTCACTGTTACAGAATATACAGACGGATTTCAAAAGTTCTACGATAAGTAGAGTCCACTTATTACCCTAAGATTAATACTAATCATAGAGACACACAACAGACGAAATTCCTTCTAACTTGCTCAAAAATTGGGCTTCACCTAAGTTTTCTAACAGTATCCGAAATAATACTATTTTAAAACTCTGTAAAACTTATGATTAGGCCTTTTATGCCACATAAAACAGTAAGTGCTTAAGTAATAACTCACAACAACCTTGTCAACAAAACTATAATACAGGTCAAACCGTCGTGCTAAACACTATAGAAATACACTTATTTAGTTCAACAATTAACCCATATCACTATCAGTCCAATACTATCTTCACCTTTCTAAATGCTTGACTCCCCAAAGCTACGTGGGTTGTAGATGTTACGAGTGATATTCCTACATTTTGAGATTGATTAGTACAGAAACAATACAGAACACCACGCAGAGACTAGATCACGTTCAATCAGGTACATGATTCACGACCAAAATAAAGAGCGATTTACAATACTTCATTCCACACCAATTACAGTGAGTATGGAGTAGAAATCAACAAGAAGTGAAATTGCATACTTGGTAGTCAGTAGGCTGAGCCTGTCTGTACACACTCGATGACCAATCACATTTTCCTTTCACTACCACACATCACTTGAGTTATCAAATAAACGAATATTTCACTATTTAACAGAGTGAAATGGGAAAAGGAAGTAAATAATTTCTAGATGTCATGTTTTTGTCCCAAAACTTGGTATTCGACTGACTGTTAACTGCTGAAATTTGACTGTCAAGGTGAAATGCATACAGTAACATAGCAAGGTGTGACATAATCGTGTGGTAAAGTGAGTCATTCAGAATCAGCCAAACGAGGAGAATTGATCACCTTACCCTAAAGAAGGAATACATATCAATTGTCAAGAAATGGCTTCCGTCTCCTAGAAGGTGGAACATATATATATATATATATATATATATATATATATATATTAGTATTTGTACGAATTATCCGTTAAGTAATATAGACTTCCACCTCTACTCTGACCTTCTTACTCAAGAATTCAATCTGGGGATTAACACGTATAGCGGCCGGATCTCGAACACCGCAAATCATCGCAAAATGGTTATGACTACGTCTTCCACGTCGGAATTGAGACCGATATACAGCAAAATTAACTATTTACAATTTTTAAACTAGGTTAAATGAAGGAATATTGGATTATAGGAACGAATACGTGTGGGGATTTTCACATATATTCGTGCCCTTTCACAGCATGGAAGTTAGATCTTCTATGAGTTATATATATTCGACTTATCTTACACTGCTTCGCAGAATTCCAAACACTAGTACTGTAACAACTTATGATGCATCAAGATTTTCCCTAAAAATAAATCATCGCATTCGAAATCTAGGTGTTTTGCATACATATTCAAATGCTTTACATTATAAACTACGTGAACATATTACCAGAATTCTTTCGAAACAAACATTTATTGCGAACAAAAACCAGGATGTATGAGTGATCCTAAAAAATTAGCAATCGCACAAACGGGCACACTTTATGTCAACTCACATATTGTAAGTCAGCTCGCAATAAATAATCCAGTGAAGTAGATCGTGACTATTCACGCAAAGATATATTCATTAGCCCTGTCGAGTATACATAGACTGAGAACCCAATAAATACTTCCAACAAGTGAATACTCCGCCTAATCAACCCTCACGCCTTTAGAGTAAATTCTAATAATTACATCAGTGATAATTCTAATAATAATAACAATAATAATAATAGTAAAAATATAGTAATAATAATATTTATTCTCAAACAAAAGTGTGTTACGTGAAGCATTTCAGTTTACGGGCAACATCAAACTGTTGCGAATGCTAATTAAATTACAAGTAAGAATAGTATTATTCTTCTGACGTAGCAAGTTTACTCAATCTTACAGACATGATCAACTTGATACAATCACATTTCCAACAAGTGATTAAAAATGGGGTAGGTACTAAGCAGAGTTCTTAGTTGGTATTAATAACTCAGGAATGATTCACGAGACAGTATTTAGAGAGATTTACTTGCAGAGTATTTGTGTAATGGAACAGGTTCGTAATTTCACATTTGTTGGAAATTGTCGATCGGACGGCGCTTGGTACATGCCGTGACCTTGACGAGCCCGTGCGAAAAGTAGGTGCTGCGTATGTAACAGTGTTGAAATCACTGTGTGTTGTTATTAATAGATTCTGTCCTCTTTCTATTGCAGGACGACCAAGGATAAACGTTTTGGGAGGAGAAGAGCAAGCCCTGCGTGCGCTGAACTTGCAAGATGACTGATAAGACTATTTCGTAAATAAGCCTTCCCTTTTGTACAAAAGCCGCGTAATTTAAATTTCAAAATAAAAGACCTGTGGCTACTACTCCGGGTTCTTTCTTGGTGTGAAGTTCTTGGTTATCATTGTGTGTTGTGGTTTCAGGACCTCTCCGCCCTTCAGTGACTGCTGATTACACTTGTTACAACCAGTGATGGAGGTTTTTACGGCAAAATGCGACGAAAATCATGACAAAACCTTTGTGATTCGAGCCCCTCGCCAACCGCCACTGCTTAAGACTACGTCGGATTATTCTATTTGGAAATTGCGAGTTGCGACATATCTGCGTGAAGTTCCGACCTCAGAACATTTTGGTTATCTCTTATCTTACCTGGACGATAAGACGGCTAGAATAGCAAAAGCCAACGGCTTTGAGGCTAGCAAATCCCCTGCTGAAAATTGGAAAATTCTAGATGATTGTTTTTATATACCCGTGGACACTGAGGAGATGATCATCCGTTTTGCATCACGTCAGCAGAAAGCTAATGAGAATCCGATAGATTATCTCGACTCATTGCAGCTAATAGCATTTCAGGCGTTTCCTCACTTAAATGTCGAGAGACGAAACGAGTTAGTACGATCTAGTTTTGTTGAGGGGCTGGTTCCTGGTCCACTAAAAGAACACTTTCGTAGAATGCCGCCAGTCGATACGGTTGATTTGAAAAGAACAGCATTTCGATACCTAACTGCGGAAAAACTGTCAAATTCACCAGAGACATGTCGACGAAGAGTGGTGGCTGTGGAGAAAGCCACAGGATCTAGTAGACTGGATAGCTTTCAGAAGGTAACGGCTGCTGAAGACTTTCCTGGCCGAAATACCAGACGAGGGCAGTCAGGCTTAATGTGGAACAGACAGTCATCATGGAACAACTACCAGGACTGTCAAACAGATCGCGTCTGCAGCAGAAGGTTTGGCAGGACTGCCAAGAGATGTGGTCATAACCATTTCCAGAACTCAGGTAAGCCGTGTCTTCACCGTTTATCTTCTTGTCGTGTTAATCATGTGTGCCCCATTACTATTGGAGGTAAATTGCATAGCATTGAGGTTGAATACTGCTAGACACGGGAGCTTCAGTATTAATCACAGCGAGTGGTGACTCTTTGAAAGTGTGTTCTAAGATGTGGATAGACCTAACGATAAACAAGAATCCGTGTCGGCAGCCGGGAAGTGACATCCTCCCTCATGCTTGTACCAGCATACGAGACCGAATCGGTCACAATCCAATCCTCCCTACACCCCCTAACATTTATCTCCACGGCTAACTCTTCTCACATTCCTCATTAATTTGACTTCGCCTTGTCAAAATAACGAAGCAGCTTGGTATACTCTTCGTGTATCTGGAAACCATGCTGCTGCTTTCCGCGACGAAAATCATGGCAAAACCTTTATGATTCCGGTCAAGGTAGCACCCGATCCAATCCCTCGACAACGGCCACTGCTAGTAAGTTTAACCATAAGTTTGAGGAGAAACGGTGAATTTCAGTAGCATCTACCGAACTGATAGGTCCTCGGAAACTCATCCCGTCTGGCTCTGAGTACGGTGAGGAGTGTAGTCAGCTTAGGCGCAGGCTGATGAAAAGCCTACGCAATGATCGCGAACAGTGGTGGGTAGCGAAAGCAAGAGAGATGGGTAAGGCAGTGGCGATAGGCAACAGCAGAGCTGCTCCGACTTATCAAGGAAACCGGTATTAGAAATCCATCTGTCAGCGAAACTATCTCAGAAAGAGATGGCTGTATCGTTCATTCTCAGCCTAGGATATCGGGTCGATGGGCAGAACACAAGGGATCAGTTCAACTGGCCTTCAGCCACGCTTCAGTTGCTCACGATTTCCAGTCAACCTGAATGTCAAATCGACGTAAGTCCTCCGACTCTTTATGAAGTTGGGAAAGCTATAGGAAATCTGAAGCGAAGGAGAGCAGCAGGGGATGACAGTCTTACCCCTAAGATTTTTAAGGATGGTGGTCCAGTTTTAACAGTTAGATTGACCGAGACCTTAGATAGAATCTGGGAACTCAGCATAATTACATCTGACTGGTCTCAATCACTGATTGTCCCAATTTCTAAGAAAGGATAGAAGTCCTCTTGTGACAATCACAGAGGAATCAGTCTAGAAAATCAGGCTGCTTTCATACCTGGACGTGGATGTATAGACCAGATATTCATACTACGTCACGTCCTAGAACAAAGACACACGTTCAGACGCCCCATAATAGTATTTCTCAACCTTAACGCGGGTATAGCTCAGTGGTTGTCTTCCTGGACCCTAAAGCAGCAATTTGATTATGTTGATCGTGAGGTTTTGTGGCAGTGTCTGTCATCAAAAAATGTATCAGAGAAGTACATTAACCTTATACAAGTTCACTATTCGAACACAACTGGTCGAGTGAGAGCTTATGGCGAATTGTCATCGGAATTTATTACTTCAAGTGCTGTCCGTCAGGGCAGTCAACACTCTCTAAACTTGTTTAGCTTTGTCATCGACATGCTTTTTGATACGACGCTTTCATTATCAGACTTTACAGGAGTTGAACTTTTGCAGGGAGATTGGCTAGTCGACTTAGAATATGCCGATGAGATAATTGTATTTGGTGAGGACGCTGACAAAATGCAGTCTCCCGACTATCCTAAGCAACAATGCAAGCATATTCGGAATGTGATTCAGGATTGGCTTGCATCGGCACCTGAACTAGTGATAGGGAGTGAAGTGGTCGAGCGTGTAGACCGCTTCGCTTATTTCGGGAGTCTCATCAGTGATGTTAAACAAGCATCCGTTTCGAGATGAATTCTTAGTTTGCCCTGCATTGACTTTGGACATGATACTCATGGTTGATTTCATGTTAAAACACCAAGTTTCCATATGCACGGATAGGTCGAAAGCGAAAATTGGTGAGGATATGAATGAACGTAGATTACAACATTCATTCTATACTGCATGTTGGAGAGACATATTATGACCAAACTGTTATTTGTGAACTCTTTAGCATACGGTTCTCCCTCAATCAGAACACACCTCTTACCTCAGATATTATTCTTAATTGTATCGGTTAGAATAATCTCAACACCATTAGCTTTGATCTTGGCAGTATTGACATTGCTGTTAAAGCCGCCAAACACAATACAAGCTCTGGGGCAGATGAAATATCATCGATACTTTTCAAAGTGGCAGGAACAAACATACTAACACTTACTCAAAATGTTTACATTAACCTAATCCAAAACAATAACTCCGCCAGTAGAACCTTCGGGGCTACTGCCGGTCCCAAGACCGGGTAAAGGAGGAGGGTTGGACATGGGGTTGGCGACCCCATTCCGTCAAAAACTAACTTGCCAAAAAAACGCTAACCAGAAAAAATAATTCAAACCATTTTAACTCTGCCCTGGGAGTTGGAGGAAGAATTATAACGTCGCGTGATGAAAGCCAAGTTCCCTCGGAAGTCACGGGGCTGATGCCTCTTCTGACAACCAGAGCAACCATTTTTTTAGGTACATGGAACGTTCGTACATTGTGGGAGACTGGAAGACTATTTCAAGTTGCGGCAGAAATGAAAAGATACAACCTCGAGGTGCTTGGAATCAGTGAAACACATTGGACACAAGTAGGACAACTGAGACTAGCTTCAGGGGAACTGATGTTATACTCTGGTCATGAAGAGGAAAATGCTTCACATACACAAGGAGTTGCACTGATGCTGTCCAAACATGCACAAAAGGCACTAATAGGATGGGAATCTCATGGACCCAGGATCATTAAAGCATCCTTCAAAACAAAGAAACAGGACATTACAATGAACGTCATCCAATGTTATGCACCTACCAACGACTACAATGACGACGATAAAGATCAATTCTACGAAAGGCTGCAGTCAATCGTCGATAAATGTTCACCAAAGGATTTGACGATTCTTATGGGAGACCTGAATGCTAAGGTTGGCATGGACAACACTGGATATGAAGACATCATGGGACGACATGGACTGGGAGAAAGAAACGAAAACGGTGAGAGATTTGCAAACCTATGTGCCTTCAACAAACTGGTCATCGGTGGCACAATATTCCCGCACAAACGCATACGCAAAGCTACATGGATTTCACCGGATCACACTACTCAAAACCAGATTGATCATATATGTATCAACAAAACGTTCAGAAGGACTATGGAGGATGTGAGAACCAGGAGACGAGCTGATGTAGCCTCAGATCACCATTTGCTAATCGCCAAAATGAAACTGAAACTCAAGAAGCACTGGACAACGGGACAGACAACATCACAGAAGTTTAATACGGCCTTTCTTCGGGATACTGTAAAGCTCAACGAATTCAGGATAGCCCTCACCATTAGGTTCCAGGCCTTTCAGGATCTACACAATGGAGAGGACGCAACATTGGAGAACAATTGGAAAGGGATTAAGGAGGCAATCACTTCAACATGTCAGGAGGTCCTTGGTCGCAAGAAGCAGCATCACAAGGAATGGATCTCTGTTGATACTCTCGCGAAAATTGAAGAAAGGAGGAAAAAGAAAGCAGCAATCAATGTCAGCCCAACAAGAGCGGAGAAAGTTACCGCACAAGCTGCATACACAGAGGCAAACAGGGAAGTGAAGAAGAGCATCAGAGCTGACAAACGAAAATACGTGGAAGATCTAGCAATGACGGCGGAAAAGGCTGCAAGAGACGGAAACTTGAGACAATTGTACGAAACTACAAAGAAGCTCGCTGGAAACTATCGTAAACCAGAAAGAACAGTGAAAAGCAAGGAAGGGAAAGTAATCAGCAACACTGACGAACAGCGAAATAGGGTGGGTAGAGCACTTTAAGGAACTCTTGAAGCGACCAGCTCCTCTGAAGACACCCAACATCGAAGCAGCATCCACGGACCTCCCAATTAATATTGGCGCACCTACGATTGAGGAAAATATTTCACATCCTCTTCAAGAAGATTTGGGATGAGGAACAAGTACCATCAGATTGGAAAGAAGGATACCTAATCAAAATACCAAAGAAAGGCGATCTCAGCAAGTGTGAGAACTACAGAGGCATCACTCTTCTTTCAATACCAGGCAAAGTCTTCAACAGAGTATTGTTAAACAGAATGAAGGACTTCGTAGACGCCCAACTTCGAGATCAACAGGCCGGATTTCGTAAGGATCGATCGTGTACTGACCAAATTGCTACATTACGGATCATTGTGGAACAATCAATTGAATGGAACTCACCACTCTACATCAACTTCATCGACTACGAGAAAGCATTCGATAGCGTGGACAGAAAAACACTGTGGACTCTTCTTCGACACTACGGGGTGCCTGAGAAAATAGTTAACATCATACGGAACTCTTATGATGGATTCAACTGCAAAATCGTGCACGGAGGACAGCTAACCGACTCTTTCGAGGTGAAGACCGGTGTGAGGCAAGGTTGCTTACTCTCACCCTTTCTCTTTCTCCTGGTCATCGACTGGATTATGAAAACGTCAATATCTGGAGGGAAGCACGGTATCAACTGGACAGTTAGGACGCAGCTGGACGATCTGGACTTCGCAGATGACCTGGCTCTTCTATCGCACACTCAACAACAAATGCAAGAGAAGACGACCAGTGTAGCAGCAGCCTCTGCAGCAGTAGGTCTCAACATACATAAAGGAAAAAGCAAAATTCTCCGATGCAACACAACATGCACCAATCAAATCACTCTTGATGGGGATGCCTTGGAGGACGTTAACACCTTTACATATCTGGGCAGCATCATCGACAACCAAGGTGGATCCGATGCAGATGTGAGGGCACGGATTGGCAAAGCAAGGGCTGCATTTCTACAGTTGAAAAATATCTGGAAATCCAAACAACTTTCAACCAAAACCAAAATCAGGATTTTCAATACAAATGTCAACACAGTTCTACTGTATGGAGCGGAAACTTGGAGAACTACAACAGCCATCATCCAGAAGATACAAGTGTTTATTAACAGCTGTCTACGCAAAATACTTCGTATTCGTTGGCCAGACACGATCAGCAACAACGAACTGTGGGAGAGAACAAACCAGATTCCAGTGGAGGAGGAAATCAGGAAGAAGCGGTGGAAGTGGATAGGACACACATTGCGGAAAGCACCTAACTGCATCACGAGACAAGCCCTCACATGGAACCCTCAAGGCAAAAGGAAAAGAGGAAGGCCAAGGAACACATTACGCCGATAAATAGAGAAAGATATGAGAGGAATGAACAAACATTGGACAGAACTGGAGAGAGAAGCCCAGGACAGAGTTGGTTGGAGAAAACTGGTGGGCGGCCTATGCTCCATTGGGGGTAACAGGCGTAAGTAAACGTAGTAATCCAAAACAATAGACCAACTAATATCACCCCTGTTATCTCACGATTAACGGGAAGAGTGATAAAA